CTCAGATCGCCACTGATAGACAAGTGTTGGCTGCACATGGGATATATCGACCAGGATTTGAACCTATGTTTCCTGCACAGAAATAAAAGTACCACTGTCCCCATTGAACACCTTGCAATTTTCTCTTCATTTCTGATGTCTTACCTCCTCCCTTCTCTATTTTCTCAATTTAGTCAGTTCTAATTTTACATTTCCCTAATTTTTAACCTTTTTGTTGTTAATTTCTGAATTATTGTATTTCATATTTTCAAATCCTTATTTAAGGATACAAAATTCACTTACGTGTGAGCAAATGTTTCATGGCTGCTTGTACAGTGGAGGGAGTTTCATCAACTGAAATAATTTTATTCTCTCTTATTTTGCTGAAGACTTATATTGTTTATATTGCTGAAGACTACTTGTACTCTACATTTTGTTTAAAAGGTTGGCAGTGAACAAAATCCTAGTTAAAATACACCGCTTCCGTCAGTACAACAAAGTGCAGTTGGGTTAGTGGGTGGCTGGGTTTACGGTAAGCCATGGAGCACGAGGAATGTAAACTGACTGTGGTTTCTGTTTGTCTTCAAAGTGCACAATTCACCCCCTTTTGCTTCATTTTCCCTTAACTTCATAATTTCCAAAAGTGCCTCTCCTTTCCTTAACCCTTTATCTCCAGAAGTAATACCATTTGATGACTGCCTTCCTGAGTTACATGTATGTTTTTAAATACATTCCATGAAGTCACTGCTCTGATTTAATATTTTTACAGGTTTATTGGCATATAATCCATACATCATACAACTCAATATTTCAATCATATCAAGAAGAATTGTATAATCATCACTCCAATCACTTGTGATTGTTTTTTTCATGATTAAAATGAGTTGTATAATCACCATTAGTTCTAGGGCTTCCTGCCCCTCGCTCATACTTTGCTCACCCAACCCTCTCACGCTCCCTATCTCTCACCCTCACCCCTACCTTCCCTATAAACCCTTGCATCTGTTATTATCTACATGCATCTACACCTTCTGTGTTTCACAAACTGGAGAACCCAACAGAAATAAGAAACAGAAACAAAATGAAGTGCTAAAGGTAAAATAAAATACAAAGATAAAAATACAAATAATGTGTAAGAAAGTAAAGAACACCATCAGTATTTAAAAGGCCAGGGAAGAAATTTTTGTCATGGAACAAGCAAAAAATACTTGCATCTAGAACAATTTCAGGTTGGGTCAACATGGGAGTCAACTGACGGAGTATCAAGGTCGTTCCAGTATAATCATGGTTACAATGATCTCTAGCTAATAGTAAAGGTGTTCAAGGCCTTGGCTTGTGGCTAGAAGGGATCTGCCAACAGTTTGATCTGAGAAGTTACTCTGCAGATCGGTTATGGGCACCCACTGTCCCCCACAGCCTTCCACAAATTGGGAATTGGGTGTTTGAAATTTAGGCTCTGATACTTTTCCCTTCGTCAGCTTTAAATTCTCTTATTGTTGTCTTGGATCACACAATCTGGTGTGTGGTTCTGCAATGTGAACTTCATTGACTCCTCATTTAGATGGCTGTTTGTTTGACTACAAGTTGACTCCTCACTTAGATGGTTGCTTGTTTTGAGACCCCAGACATTATTCCGATTGCCAGGCACCATCTTCTTTCTTCACCACACTTTGCTGTAGCACCCTTACTTTCAGCGATCATTTCATGAAGGGCCCTGTTATCAGAACTAATTGTTCTTGGATTGGGGTTAGAGTTAAGTGGGGCTCCAGAATCCATCTGCTTGTGCGTGGGATATGCATGACTCAGGTTTACTCTGACGGTCATATTGTGTCAAAATCAAAACTCCATATGACTAATTACCCCAACAACAGAAACAAACCAACTAGCAGACAACAAAAAAACAAGCAAAATAAAGGCAGTAAAACAAAAACCCATAGAAACAGAAAAGTAAAACATTGTCAATCATCCCCCTGGAGTATAAGGTGATTGCACTGGTTATATCATCAATTTTTCCAATGACACTGAGCTTTGGATATTGTTGGTATGAGGTGTCTATGCAAGTACAGTTTCACCGTAAGCCACAGCCCATTGAGTGTTGCTCCACAGTTTGGTCCCCCATTCAACACCCATTCCCCTGGCAAACTTCCATCTTCCAAGTTCAAGGGGAAACTTCCATCTTCCAAGTTCAGATCCCTGCCCAACAGATCAAAGCCTGCCATGTCACTGCGAGGGGAACATTGAGGTACTAAATTTATGGTGATTCTGGGTACCTTTCCACTGGGCACCCACCAAGCCAGGGGTCCAATGACAAAGTTCCAGGGCAGCCACTCTCTGCTTCCGCTCCCAGCCAAGTATCCCGGTACTCAGTCCAAGGATGGAGGCACCTTTGAGGCAGGGCTCAGTTCATTCTGCCAAGACTCTATGTTAAGTCCTTACGGTGTGGCCCTTGGGTTATGCCATACCACCTGTCAGGTCAGCATCCAAGGTCACCATGGTGTTTAGTCGATGGTGTGGTTCATTGAGGGTTGGAAAGAAACATATTTGTAGTGTCTACCCAGGTGCACAAATTTGATCCAATGCACCCCTAGGTTCTCTATAATCATTGCTAAGCATCCCTTCTTGATGTGAGGTTAATTCTCTCCAATCACCCACTATACTCATCAACAAAACTATCAGTGTATCCTCTGAAATGTAGATGTTCCTCTCCCTTGGTCTTGTCTTGATTTCCTGGCAAAGTTCTCCTTCCATTCGTGGGGAGGGGGGGGGGGGGACAGTAGCCTTTTCAACTTTTGTTCAGGAATTAGTCCCTAATTGGGCCCTGAGATTTGTTTGTTGGTATTTCTCCTTATAGTGGTGGACTCATACATGTCCTTTTGTGATTGACCTACTTTTACTCAGCATAATGGTTACCAGATCTTTCCATGCCATGTGAGGTTTCATGCTTTCGCCACAGGTTTTCAGGGATGCATAGTATTCCATTGTGTGAATGTACCATCGTTTTGTTATCCATTCTTCCACTGTTGTTCACTCTTATTCTGGGTATTTGCATTTTTCTTTTCTTTTTTCTTTGTTAAGTTTGAACGTGGTCTATTTTGTTAATCCTTTCAACAAACTAGCTTCTTGTCTTATTGATTTTTCCATATTTTGTGTGTATTTTGCTTTCCATCTCATTTCTGCTTTGATACTTATCGTTTATTTCCTTCCTTTGTTGGAGGAACTGTTGTTGTTCTTGTTCCAATTCTTGCAGGTGTTGTGTTACGATGTTGATTTTAGATTTCCCCCTTTTCATGTGTGTTGATAGATATTCATTGGCCTCTATTAACTGCTTTCGCTGTATCCCAGGGTTTTTTTTCCAATCATTTTATTAGGGGCTCATACAACTCTTATCAAAATCCATACATACATCAATTGTATAAAGCGCATTTGTACATTCATTACCCTCATCAGTCTCAATATCCCAGGTTTTTATATATTGTATTATCATTCTCATTTGTCTCAAGGAATTTTTAAATTTATTCCTTTATTTGCCTTATTACCTAGTCATTTATTAGTATTATGTTGTTCAATCTCCATGTGCTTGTCTTTATGTTTCTGCTCTTTTATTGATGATTTCTAATTTTACAGTTTTGCTGTCTGAGAAGAATGATGTAGCATCTCGATTTTTTTTTTTAATTTGTTGAAGCATGGTTTGTGGTCTAGCATGTACTCTATTCTTGAGAATGTTCCATGTCTATTGGAGAAGAACATATACCATTGTTTTGTTGGATGGAGCGTTCTATATATGTCTATGAAGTTGTTTTTGATGATCATGTTATTGAGTTTTTTTGTGTCTTTACCAAATTTTTTTCCTTGACCTTCAGTCTTTCCTTGAGAGTGGTGTAGTGCAGTCCCCTGTCATTATTGTTGCTGTGTCTATATCCTTTTTCAATTCTTTGAGTATTTGTTGGACGTACTTTGAGGGCCTTTCATTGTGTGCATATGTTTAGTATACATATGGCTTCCTGAACTATTGTTCCCTTTAACATTATGTAGTACCCGTTCTTATGTCTTATTACGTTGTTTGCTGGAAGGTCTATCTTCCGGGAGATTAATACTGCTACCCCTGCTTTCCTTTGACTGCTGTTCGCTTGGGATGCTTCTGTCCAGCCTGATTTTTAGTCTGTTCATGTCTTTGTTTGTGAGGTGTGTTTTTGTAGGCAGCATATTAATGGATTTTGTTTTCTTATCCATTCTACTACTATCTGTCTCTGTCTTTACTGGTGTATTTAGTCCATTAACATTCAGTGAAATTATTGATATGTATGTATTTGTAACTATCATCTTGCTTATATGTGTGTGTGCTGTGTGTCTACATGTGTGTTGTGTTTACTTTCTTTGTTTTTCTGGTGCAATTTCCTTGCTTTGGGTGTTGCTCTGTGTGTGGGCTTTTTGTGAGGAATTGTCTTGTATGTTGGTTTCAAGTTTGTGTGTTGTTGCTGTTGGGTTTTGGTCATAGTACTTCATAGAGTGGTTTTTGTTTTCTATTTTTTTAGTTTCTGCAGCATTTTTCTTGAGCAGGAAACAAAATTTCATAACCGCACGCTGTTCTCTTAAATCAGTCATCACAAAACACGAGGTTTGAGTGAAAGTGCTTTTATAAAAAAACCAGTGACCAGAGAGAGAACCTTTCCAGGTAACACCACTGGGTGTACTATCTCAAAGTGAGTTGTTCAATGCTCACCTAGAAAGAAAAATGTGAACTGTGCCCCCAAGATTCCATGTACCTTAGAGTACCTTTTTAAACACCCCAGAGCTCAGTTGGCCCTCAAGTGCACCTGAGCCACAAGGTTGCGTAGTTAATGGTCTTCCTAGAATACACTATTCAGTGGACCCTGCCCCTGTGCCCATCCCATGCTTTATCTGTTCATCTGTGCAGCCCAACATCAGGGCAGTGAGCCAAGTATTTTCTCAATAGCCTGAATCACTGCGGCCATGGCCAGGGCCCCACTAGCACTAGAAAGATAGGCAGATGCAGTTCTTACAGAGCGTATGATGTCCTCCATGTCATAGGCTTTAGTGGACTCCAAAGGGACGATCGTGTCAAGCTCAGGAACCAGACGATCACTGTGGGGAAACAGGAGGGTGTAGGGGCAGTGGGTTACTTGATGTTGCTGTTCTAGCCCAAGTTTTTAACTCCCACCAAAAACCTTTCCTTGCATAGGTTTGGTAAGAAGGTGAGCAAAGCTACCAATAGGATTCCCCTGTGACTAATGGCAAACAGGATTCCCTCTAGTACCATCCTGCTGTGGTGAAAATGAACCCTTCTGAGAAGCAGGAGGAAAGGTTCTCATGAGCAGCAAAAGCCAGGAGTAGAGCTTGTCCTCTGGACCCAAGATCCCTGCTCAGTGAACCTCCTGGATCCAATGACAGCTGTGGCATCGGAGAAGCAGCAACAAAATCAGGAAATCTGGAGCATGGAAAAAAATGATGGACTATCCAACCCACAGAGGCTGGCTCATACCGTGGGTGCCTCTGGACACTTAACTGAGGAAGTTGGACGTGCTGGCCTACTGAAGTAGAGCTGAGAGCCTCTGGCCTGAGGCTTACTGGAGCGGAATGACTCTGGGCACTTAATTCTGGGAGCTGCGTGTGCTGACTCACAGCTTCAGCTGAATGCCTTCAGGTTGAGGCTTATAGAAAAGTGGTATGCCCTTTAGGCATTTATGAACAGCCTTGAGAAAATGTTGTGATATGTCCTGATAATCAACTCAGACGAGCATTTCTTACGGGCATTACAATCTGTTAACTTCCTTAATAAACCCTTTAATCACACTTTTCCCCCTGAGTTCTGTGTAGCCATTGCCATGGATATCAGAACCTGGAGGTAAATTACAGAACGTTAATCAAGTCAGCGCAGAGGGAGCTCTAGTCAACATCTGACAAGCCAGCTCAGCTGCCTTTGCAAGGGACAAGGTGAGAGTAGGGAGAAACATCACGAAGACTGGGCTAGTTCTGTCCCTGCCAGTCTGCAAAGCAGTCAGCCAAGCTGTATTCCTTTGGAACCACCATATGAAACGGAGACTGAGACTCAGACCAACTCAAGAGACAGTATGATTTTAGAGAAAATGAGCTCATTCCCTGACTGGGAATTCCTTCATTTATCTTCTCTGAACACAGCTGCAACCCAGGTACGACATGAGGCAGTGAGGGTCTTCAGACACTGAGAGGTCAAAAACAAGGTCTTGGAAAAACAGAGTAAATGTTCTGTAGAGACCACTGGATCCATATTCTGTTAGGTGGCTAACACATGAAAACTCCTTTAAAATGGAAAATTGAGCTCTCGGAAGAGCAAGATCACTGCAGGCTAAATGCCCACAGACACTCTCCTGTCTGTACCTCTGTGGCTGGGCAGGGCCGCTGAGCCCTTCCCCACACTGTAAAGGGATAAGCGACATGTCAAGGCCGGCTTCCAGAGAGTTCTGTCCTGGGGATTGGGTACCTACACAATCCAAACCAAACCCACTGCTTTTGAGTCAATTCTAACTCTCACTGACCTTGCAGGACAGTTGACCTGCTCCCTAAGGTTCTCAAGGCAGTGGTCTCTACAGAAGCAGGTCACCCCACCTTCAACCATAAAATGGCAGTGTTCAATATTGGGGACACGGCGGGGAGTTGGTCTGTTCTGAATACCCCACCGAGGGGCAAACCAAGAAGGGAACAGAACAGATCAGCAACGGGAGCAAAGCAAAGCCACAAAGCCCCTGAGGCACAACAAAATTCGACTTCAGTCTAAGAGAGGCAGCTCCTGGATTTCCCCCAGGACCAGTGGGGAGAAGGTCATAAAGGTCAACAGACAGACCTGGGGAACTATGTATGTTTTTTGTTTGTTAGCTAATTGTTATTATCTTTTTTTGTTTGTTTTCTTTTCTCTTTTTATTCAATCTTTTGTTTTCTTTTTGTTTGGTCTCTGTTATTGTTGATTTGCCTGCTTATATAAGATAGGCACGGGAAGCAAGCTGGAACCAATGGTTCCAGAGGGTTTTAGGGGGAGAAGGAAGTGGGAGAAGGGGCAGGTTAGCAAACAACGCCATAGATGGGAATAACGAGGGAATTAAAATTGACAATAAGGAGCAGGTAGAGATCCTGAGGGTGGTGGCACAACAGCAATCTACCTGAGAGGAATTACTAAGAGATGGAAGAAGGACGAGCATGATGGAAGCAAAGTTATGGATAGAGGTATAAACCTAGGTGTGTACATATGTAAAAAAATTAAGTCATAAAAATAGAGATATTGGCCTATTTACATATATTTATAAAGCAATACACTGAGGTAGTGGACAGACTCCGGGCCTCTGCTCATGCCCTCCCTCAATGCAAGAACACTTTGTTCTAACAATCTGGCATTCTGTGATGCTCACCTGTGAGGAACAGAAGGATTTCTCTTAAGTTGTCTCCCCAAAATATGTACCAGACTTAGCTTGAGAATAATTGTTCACTAGGCAGCGAAAATAGGTCAGAGGTTATTCTCCTTAACATCAGCCATCTAGAGCAGC